AAGTTTTGGTTCCAGAACCACGGCCACACAAAACTTCCAGAACACGGCCACACAGCCTGGAAGACCCACATCAGCCATCATATTCCGGCCGTGAAAGCCTTCAACAATACATAGCTGAATCAACTTCATGAATTTCCTTGAGCATCCATAATGTCTCAAGATGATCCAGAGACCCTCCCTGTTTAGTGTCAAATGCCTTTGCCAGGTCAATGAAGACAGAGTAAAGAGGCTTGTTCTGCTCAACGCACTTCCCCTGGACTTGCCTCATGGCAAATATCATGTCTGCTGTATTCTGTTCTGGCCAAAAGCCACACTGCATCACTGGAAGGTCCCTTTCCGAGACAATAAGTCTGTTCAGCAGAGTGTGGGCAAAAATCTTGCCTGTAATGGACAGTAGTGAGATGCCCTTTTGGTTTCTGCAGTTTGATTTACCTCCCTTATTTTTGTAGAGAGCCACACTGGGGGCATCATGGAAGTCATCAGTCATCTCCTCTGTGGACCAAATGTTTTCCAAGATGTCTAGAAATGCCTGTAAGGCATTTGGGTCTAGTGCTTTGTAGATCTCAGCAGGAATACCATCCTCTTCTATTGCATAGTTTGAGTTCATCTGCAAGATTGCTTTCTTGATCTCATCAGTAGACAGAGGCAGGTCTAGGGCATCCAAGACTGGCAGCTGAGGAATCTGCTGTAAGACATCAGAAACAGCTGTGGATGGCCTATTGAGTAGGCCGGAAAAGTGTTCAGCCCAGCAGTTTTTCAGTCCTTCCTGGTCTTTGATCAGGCCCAACCCATCAGATGACAGCAGGGAGAAACATCCTGATTTAGAAGGACCACAAACAAACTTTATGGAGCTGAAGAACTCCCTGGTGGCATGCAGGTCTGCATAGCGTTCCACCTGCTCAGCCCTTTTCTGCCACCACTCGTCCCACATTTCTTGCAGTTCTGTCTGTATTTTGGACTGCAGGTGCTTAAACTTGTCTTTCTTTGAGACAGATGATGGATCATTCTGCTGGTCTGCATAGGCCTTGTTCTTGGCCTGGAGGGTTGCTGAAATGTTCTCATAGTTTTCATCAAACCGGTCTTGATGTGCCCGGGTTTTCAGTCCGAGTACAGTTGTTGCAGTCTGCATGATGACATCTTTA